GAGGTGGGCAGATCACGAGGTCAAGAGATTGAGACCATTCTGGCCAACATGGTGAAACCCCATCTCCACTAAAAATATAAAGATTTGGGTGTGGTGGCAGGCGCCTGTAGTCCCAGCTACAAGGGAGGCTGAGGCGGGAGAATAGCTTGAACCCAGGAGGCGGAGCATGCAGTGAGCCGAGATCCCGCCACTGCACTCCAGCCTGGGCCACAGTGCGAGACTCTGTCTCAAAAAAAGAAAAAAGAAAAAAGAAAAGTTTGTGGAACAGAGTGGGCACCCCATCAAGACTGCTCCAGTCAGCGAACTGGCCAAGGTGTTCTTTTTCAATTCACAATTTTGGAACAGAAATAAACGGCTTTGCAAATGCCTGTAGAGAAAACACGCAGCCCTGGTCTGTCGGTCTAAGCTCAATACTGATGTCTAAGTTTTGGGGGCAAGGAGACGGTCTTGCCTGGAATACAGCAAGCGATCTGTCATGTGTGTTCCTAAACTCAGGAAAGAACCACTGGCATTTCTATCAATTGTCCACCTGATCCCTTCTTTACATGAATTTGCCTTAGAAAAGTCTTCACCAGACATAAACTGGCATTTAACAAAAAAGAGGGAAAATGAAAACAATAAGGTATCATTTCTTACTGCCTGGAAAGGCCACGGATGAGCTGAGTGTGAGGCAAATAGAAGGAAATCAGAAGGCTCACAGCTGACAAGGGTGTTAATTGGAATAAAGTCCTGGAGGGCGATTTGACAATTTGTAGCAAAATCCATTTAAAGTGGCATACATCGGGACCCAGAGTTCCTCCTTTTAGACCTTTACTCCAAGGATTCGGCAAATATGAACAAAAATTTTGTGAGAGGATGATGACTCCTGGTTAAAAGAGGAGCGTGTACGCTAAGTAGTAATGAGCTGGTATGAGCTGACATCATCCTTTGTAAGAACTGCATTTTGTATCTGGGTGCAGTGTCTCATGCCTCTAATTCCAGCACTTTGGGAGGCTGAGGCCAGCGGATCACCTGAGGTCAGGAGTTCAAGACCAGCCTGGCTAATATGGTGAAATCCCGTCTCTACTACAAATACAAAAATTAGCTGGGCATTGCAGCGCACACTTGTATTCCCAGCGACTCAGGAGGCTGAGGCAGGAGAGTTGCCTGAACCCGGGAGGCAGAGGTTGCAGTGAGCCAAGATCATGCCACTGCACTCCAGCCTGGGTGACAGAGTGAGACTCCGTCTCAAAAAACAAACCAAACCGAAAAAGAAACAAAAACAAAAAAAACTGTATTTTGGACAGTTGCATTCTGTTGAATAGTCTTCCAGAGTTTCCCTAACAGTGATTTGCTCTAGACTATTGTATTGTAGATAATACAATGCTCTAGACTATTAGATTGTAGATAATAGTTTCCTTTGTTTATCTACAGTTTTTGTATTTTCTATAGTAAACATCTATTACAGGCAAAATAAAAGTTAAGCGTATGAAAGGGGCTGGATCTTTTAGGACCCAAAGTTACCCTTTGCCACAGGCACTATTGACAAACTCTATATTAATCAGAACATGCTCTGAATGACTGTAGGATACAGGATTGGCAGATCTTAAACAAAGAATATTAAATATTTACATGAGGCCAGTGGGGAGGTGCATGCATGGTGGGGAAGCCTGCGGCCAGCAGGGGCGTTTTATGCTCGCATAGAATGTGGAGGAGGGAAATTGTTTAGGAAGACGGTGGAGAGGTGGGGCGGGGGGATAAGGGGAAGAAATATTTTATTCAGAAGGGGATTTGCATTTGAAGATTAGGATGGAGCTTGTTTATTGTAAGGACTTCCTAAGGTTTTACTGAATCCTGCTGTTTCCTTTTTAGAATGGAGATAACTCTGGGCCTGACTTTCCTGATTCCTCCCTTGACATCCTCAAAGCTCTGGCCGGGCGTGATGGCTCACTCCTGTCATCCCAGCATTTTGGGAAGCTAAGCTGGGTGGATCACCTGAGTTCGGGAATTCGAGACTGGCCTGACCAACATGGTGAAACCTCGTCTTTACTAAAAATACAAAAATTAACTTGGCATAGTGGCGGGAGCCTGTAATCCTAGCTACTCGGGAGAGTGAAGGAGGAGAATTGCTTGAACCTGGGAGGCAGAGGTTGCGGTGAGCCGAGACTGCACCACTGCACTCCAGCCTGGGCAACAGAGTGAGATTCCGTTTCAGAACAAGCAAACAAAGTATCCTCAAAGCTCTGAAGTGAGCAGCCCGGTGGGAGCTGTGCAGCCCACACTGTGCCATGCTCTGTGCCATGCTGGTCAGTCACAGCACTTCGGCTGGCTTAGATGTATAGTCTGAGGGTACTAAGAAATTAGATATACAGGACAGTGTTTCAAAATACCATCCACTTCAAAAAACCCCAAAGCATCCGTAATACTTCTTTTCAGTTTAAAAGTCATCTTCTTATCAAAAACGTCTTGCATGTGATGACTGGAGCATAATAGATGCGTAAAACATACATGTGGAATGAATACATGAATGAGAGTGTGATGAATGAAGGCAGTTTAAGAGAATTATCAGTGTTTTGCAGACGGTTCTCTTCTGTCCATGAAAGTATACAGTGGGTCGTTACACTGTGGCCTCTGAAAATCAGACCTACATTTTTTGAGTTCCTACACTGTCTGAGGCCCCGTCTGTGGTTACTTTCTCAGTAGAAATGAGAACACACGTGTTGGATACCTGGACATGGAGATGGTGTGTTTGGGGATTAATGTTAACATGGTGTGAACCACAGTCTCAAGGACTAGAGAAGCCAGTGTGGCTGTAGAGGCTGAGAAGATTTTGTAAAAGAGGTGAACTGGAGGTGGCCTCATAGGATTGCAGGATTTGTGGAGACACCAGGAGGAAGAAGAAACCCAGGGATGGGGTGGAGTGACCACAGGTGACCACAATCATCGGGTGAGAGGAGCAGAGCTGGGTCAGGGTGTGTGCCGCGACACGGGAGTGAGACACGCCACGGCCTTTATTTTTCTAGGTCGGATCAAGCTCTTGGAGCCCTGGAGTTGGTGAGAAATGGAGCCTGGCCACGCATTCTTGTGTTCCCACCCTCCCTAAGGTTGGCTCCAGATGGCCAAGGTCTATCATAGCCATGGCTCTGGTGCTTTTGTCCGAGACTGGCCAGTCCATCCAAGGAGTGTGGCCGCCTTCCTTCCAGCCACACAGCAGCTGCCCTTCAGCCACCTCTCCAGCATGACTCCGCATAGCCCACTGCGGTGGGCCTCGGTGCTCCTCTGTGTCCACTTCCAGACATGCTGCAGCTGTCAGAGCCTCCGCCGAAGACACAGAGGACTGCTTTCCCCTGCTCCCACGGGCTCACTCAGCCTTTGCCTCTCTATCCTTCCCTTCCCCTTGAGTGGCAGGGATCCTTTCCATCCGGGCTTCTGTGCATTTGCTGCTGAATCCTCCTGGAAAGGTTTTGCTTCTTCTCCTTGCCTTGCAGTTGATCACGTCCCCCTTGGAAGCTCTCTCTGGACCCACTGTCCCACATGTCCCCTCGTGCCCTCATGAGATCAGATGCCTGCCCACCCAGTTCCCGTCTGTTCCTTTGCCACGTGGATGCCCCCAAGATCAGGAATTGTGGATGATTCGGCCCTGATTGTATCCCGAGCACCAAGCCCGGAGTCAGGAATGGAGGAGCAACTCTGCACCGTTTCTTAGATAATTAGCAGTACTTACAACAAAGAGCAGTGGAGAGGAGGAAATAAGATACCCTCAGCCAGGGACGTGGGGGACGAGTCAGAACCCAGAGATGCTCCCAGGGAAGAGATGGTGCTGCCAGCAGCTCATGTTAATTGAGCCTTCTCTGAAGCTACGCGTTCCTCCAGATACTTGAACCCTCCCTCCGCCAGGCAGGTCCCACCCTTGTCCTCCCTGTGCAGTTTAGGGAGCAGACACTGGCAGAAGCTTAGTCACAGCCCAAGGCTCCCATCCTGTGAGTGGCCCTGTGCCCGTCCATCTCCCAATCCCACCCTAGACAAGGCTGTGGGGACCTGCATGGGGTGCTGGTGGCAGCTGGAGAGCAGAGCAGGGCATGGGGGAGGAGGAACGCCTCACACAGGGAGTAGGTAGTGCGGGCGGCTGCAGGCAGCTGTGGGGCCCCTCCAGTCTCGGCTTCTGATTCCCCCAGGAGGAGGAGTCTATGCTCAATGTACGGCAGGATGGGGCAGGCATGGGCAGGAGATTTGAGGGAGATGAGGTGGATGATCGCAATCATAGCTAGCGCTTACACAGGGAGTGACTGCAGGCCCTGTTTGCCCAAAACCATCCTGTCCGCACCTGTCATCTCAGGGTGACTGCAGGAGTCCCCTCTCGCCTCCTCACCCCTGGTTTGCATGCTGGGTGCTGGGCCCTGCTCACAGCACTTCACATGCACGTTCCATGTCACCTTGCTCATCCACTCTGAGCCACTGGTGCAAGGGCCTGTGTGGAGCGGGAAGGGTGGATGAGCCGTGTTGAGGACTCTCTCGAGGTTGTAGACCTTGGATGTGTAGTGGCCCCAGAGTGACCACAGCCCATAGTGGAAGGCTCAGCACCACTTGGTCTACAGGGTGGAATCGGGGGAGGCTGAAGGGACCCCAAGGCAGGCTGCAAGCCCAGCAGGATGAGGACTTAGAAAGCAAAGGAAAAGAGGAATTTAGAGATATCTCAAGCCCTGCCCTCTCCTGCCCTCTGGCTGAGTAGATGCTGGTCAAACCGGCTGCAAGATGGATCCACAACAGAACCACCGTTTATAGCATCTTTCCTGTTTTCAGATTATCTGTGGCTTTGATAAAATTAACAAGGTGGGGATTTGTTGGCAGCTCTGAGTTCCTGTCTCCCATGTGCTGTGGCAAAGGCCGATCATAGCACATGTTGCAGATAGTTTTGTTTAACCCACAGTGAAGACAGTTATATATATACACACACACACACACACACACACACACACACACATATTCCCCCCCACCCCAAAGAACGACGACTTTGACAAGGATGAGGTTGAACAAACATTTATTTATCGCTTGTTTTCATAGGGCAGATGGAGAAGCAGTTTTATGCTCAGGGAAAAGAACTGATTTTAAAAGCTTACGTATTGGGATATTGTTACCAAGTCCCACTCAATGCTGTGTTATTAACCAGATGGTAAATGTCTCATTTAAATGTCCTTTATTGAACATCTGGGGAATCGGTTTCTGAGCCATGTTTTTGCTCATTGCTCACCGCGATGGGGGTGATTCTGTTGGGATGGATGTTGTTGCTGTTAACCTGCAAGTGTTCCCGGTTCAGACCCCGTCCTGTGGTTTAATCCATGTCCGCAGGATGACAATGAGTTGCCATTTATGAGAAATGTAATTGCAGATTTTGGAGGCCCCAGCATTCCTTTCAATGTTTATAGTTTCTGGAAAAGAAGAAAATTTGTTCTGTAGATGTTGCATATTCGTGTTACACATTGCAACTGCATTGCACGTGTGCAGCCCCGCTGAGGAGCATGGGCTATTTAGTTACGGCGACCGCTGAAGATCGGTGCCACTGATAGATAGCAAGTGACAGCAGGCAGGGGAGAGCGTGATTTTATGTGATTCTTTGAATTTTCTCATATCATTTGCAGCAAAATATAAAATCCTGACTACCAAATTTAAAAAGGGAAACAGGCAGGGCACGGTGGCTCACGCCTGTAATTCCAGTATTTTGGGAGGCTGAGGTGGGCAGATCATTGAGATCAGGAGTTCAAAACCAGTCTGGTCAATACAGTGAAACCCCGTCTCTACTAAAAATATAAAAATTAGCTGAGTGTGGTGGTGCACACCTGTAATCCCAGCTACTTGGGAGGCTGAGGCAGGAGAATCACTTAAACCTGTGAAGCGAAGTGGAGGTTGCAGTGAGCCAAGATTGCACCTTTGCACTCCAGCCTGGGTGTTGCAGTGAGATTCCGTCTCAAAAAAACAAACAAAACAAAACAAACAAACAAACAAAAACCAGTTCTTGTTAAGATAAGAATATTGTTAGTTGTGGAAAGAGAAATGCTCTCCTTCACCTATTTCTCTGTTGAGGGCAGCCTGAGCATGCGACTGTCCTGTGACACACCTTCGTTTAGGATGCTGTGCCCGGCCCCGGGCTCCCCACTTTCCCACGGTGGAATCCACATGTGCATTTTGTAGTCATCTCTTTTACTCACAATTTTCCCTCTAGATGCAAATGTGTCTCCATGAGGAAGAGCAAGGCTCCTGCAGAAAGGAGATCAGATGGATTGGGGATCCCACAGAGAGAACCTTTTGCCTGACATGAGCACCCTTGGGAGAGACCCCTCCACACAAATCTTCCTTGCAAGGAAATACTCCTGCCTCACTTTCTTCAACCCAGCCATGACCCCCTTTCCTGGTGAGAAACTGTAGGAAGAGTTGGATCTCTGGCGTGTGTGTGTGTGTGTGTGTGTGTGGTCTGATAAGAACTCTGTAGCCTCTTCCTTCCCGGGTCAGCTCCTCACTGTGTCCCCAGATGAGGCTTTAACCCATGAGTGCCCTGATGGCGCTGCTGCCCCCTGGCCCTGCTCACCTGGCCCCTTCCCAGTCTCTCTCTCCGGAGGAACAGGGTTACACCAGGGTGACAGCATCTGCCTGTCCTCCTTCTGCAGTGGTTCAGCCGCAGATGTCGACTGCACACCGCAGCCAAAAACGATTCTGCAAGGACTACAGCCTCCCGCGAAACTGAGGCTTAATGATGCAGAACTCCACGTTTCCTGCCCTCAACTTGTCATCATTTTCCTTCCCAGAACCCCCAGCACCCCTGACACCGACCTGGATCTCTACCCCAGAAACTCAAAACCCATTTTTGCCACACTGTCACACTCGCTCTCCTTCACTCCCCTAACCCAGGTCCCCGTTTCTCTGCACCTGTGTTCACCACCGAGAATCCCTCCCGTTAAGTTGCCTCCTCCATTCCGCCTTCTCCCGACCCCGTTGGCCCATGCGTCTTTGAACTTTTGCAGAATTTGCATCTGTAACAAATTACTTGCTATTTAATTATGTTCTGTCATATTATTCCTGTTGAACTTGGCCAAGAACCACGCACTCCTTGAAGGCAGAAACCGTCTTTGTTGTTCCGTGTCCTGATTCAACCCAGTAGCCCCAGAGCACGTCTGCAGGAAAGGCCTTCCAAGCTCAGGTCATCAAGCTCCTCCCAACTGCACTCTTTTACTTCTGTTTTTCCAAGTCGATCTTTTTTTTTTTTTTTAAACTTACATGAAATCATTATGAAAAGAACTTTTTATCACCTCCAGAAATGGAACACTGTATCATTTGCCATCAGTAGAAGTTGGCTGTAAAAGCAAATTCCATGTAAACAGAACGATGCTGTTGTGTTCTGCTTCCTCAGTGTGAGACCTGCTCTTTCTCCCTTGGTCATGGAGACTCCAAGTTCTAAAGACATACTAGGAACAGACTACAGCTTTCGTTGTATCCAGAAGAAGAGAGACAGAAAAAACAAAACCACCGGAAAAGTGAACAACGTCCTCACGCTGTGATTGGCAGTTGTTGAATCCAGTGAACGGGCACCACCAAAGATCACCCTCAGCCCACACCTCAGGACCCTCTGGCACAGACTCCAAACACCACCACTTACTGTGTGAGCTCCAAGTAACAAGTTCTGAAGATTATCTTTTTAAACTCACTCTGGGGTGAGCTCTCTAAGGAAGAACCCATTATTATCCTACTTTCCAGATGAGGAAACCGAGCATAGCAGGAGAAAGAAGCTTGACCACATCCACACAGTAGTAAGTGGCTAAGTCAGGACCCAGTGAGGATAAACAGTCATCCTAAGTTTTATAAGATAGAAAATTTAATCACAGGGACCTTGTAGATGGTAGAAGAGCCAAAAAGTCAGACAAGGGACACTGAGGCAACCCTGGTTTCCACAGCATCAGGAAGTGGCTACCAGCTCTTGGATGCACAAGGAAGGAGGCAATTGTCAGAGCCCATCAGACTTACTGGAGGGAAGCTAGAACCAGGCTGGGTCTCTGTGGCTGAAGCTGGCTTGTAGAAGGAAAGAGCCTCCAGGCAAGACAGCCCAACAAAGAGAGGCAAGAAGCCCACCCAGACTCCTGTACACACCCGTGTCCCTCCAGGCTTCCCATTGGTCCAACCCAGTCAGAAGCCAGAGACACAGGAACCCAGGGCTCACAGCCTGCAGAGGCCAGACCCCCATGATACAGGGCAGAGCAGGGATGGAGGGGAGGAGGGGGATGCTCTGAGACCACCAGGCACAGGCTCACGCAGGTGGTCTCATTCTGGGATCTTTTCACTCACATAAGCCATGTTGTAGTTGACTATTGGATTTTATGAGATGAGAGTTCATGTGTGTTCTTCCTCATTCCAAGAAGAGGTGGGCTCTTCCTACTTCCTAGCTACCTGGAGCTACCTGGTGATTTCTTCTAACATCTACGAAGTCCCTGTAAGTAAATTTTCTGTTTTAAAACTGTTTAACGTTGTCTGAAGACAATTTTTCCTCCACTCTTTTAAGCCCATTGAAAAGGTAGTGCAAAGTGTCCCGGAGTGAGAGAGGTGAAGGGGAAGTGGAATTGTGTTTCTTAGATTGAGAACAGATCTGAGGTTCACGGAGCCTGTGGGCAGCGGTTACATGCATGTCGCTCCCTGTCTGCATCCCCAGGAGGAGGCCAGGCCTCCTCAGGGCCCGTGAGTACATTTAAAAGGCTGAGGCCCCGGCATCAGATAGTCTGTCTTGTCCAAGACTCCCAGCTCCACAGGAGCATAGGGCAGAAAGCTGCCAGACCACACACATAGTGGTGGAATGTCCGAGGCCCTTCTCCTGAGGTCCTGAGGTGGAAAAGGAAGCCTCAGAAGATGGGGAAGCGCCAGTAGCCATGAGGTTCAGTCCTCTCCTGCCTGGTGGGTGGGACCTATGGAGTCAGAGTCAGGCTAATTTGAAGAAAATGAAGATGGGTTATTTCTCACCCATCTGATCATGGGGGCTGAAATTCTTAACTGGCGGTAATGTGGAAAATGTGGGGATGACATGAGGTCAGTCCCCCAATCTTTGCCAACCTGAGGGGCTTGAGTCTTGATGGCTGGAGATTGATGGGTGTGAGTTCATGGACCACTTATGAGACCCTGAGCCGAAAGCAGACCACCACCTTGGCCAGGTGTGTGCACAATGCAAACCAAGACAGTGGCCCATCCCATACGACTCCTCCTACCCAGGGCAGGACTGCAGCCGAGGGAGTGGTAGGTGAGGAGCAGAAGAGGTGGGGCCTTGACGTGACCACAGGAGGCGGTGGGTGAGCAGGACCAAAGTCTCATTACCCTGAGAGCACAAGTAATAAAGTCCTTGTGATCTCCCCTGCCTAGGGAAGGGCTGCATACTTGAGATCAGTTGGATGGTTAAAAATTGAAGAAGGACTTTTCTCTTCTTTCTTTTGACAACCAACTGTAGGCTGCAGACAGGTCCCCATGTCTGTTTCTTTTGTTATGCAGTTCAGCAAGCCAAGAAAACATGAGTTTCTTGCCCTGAAAATCCAAGCTGTACCATTTCCAAAGAAGCAGTCGTCAGAAAAGAATAGGGTCTCTTCGGAGTTTAATTCCAGGGCCCAGAGCAAAGAAACATGCTGTCAGCTTCCACCTTGTTGAATAAACGCCTTCTGAGTCAGACTACTTTTCCATGGAAACCAACCGCTTTCCGAATTTCCTGCAAGGGTCTTGGCCGTGAACCTCAGTAGCACTTATCTCAGAAGGTGGCCCAGGTACCAGGACAGGGCCCTTGAATTCCTAAGGGTGGTGATGAGCACACAGTGCTGCTGGTCCCCTGTCACTTTCTGTCTGTCTGTCTGAGTTCCTCCTCTGTATGTGCCACTGTGACCTGCCCTAACAGGCTTACCCAGCCCTGGGTTACCCCACCTTGGAGAAATAGAAGGAATTTGGGGGATGATTCTTATGAGTTGGGCAATGATGGAGAGTGGCGGGGGCCCTTGACATTGTATCTCCTGGAGTGATGTTCTTAGACTCCAGAATGGAAGTGAAACACTCAGCAATGAGCAGAAACCACCCACGTTTTGATTTGAAGATGGTCCATCTCATTTGACAGCACTCCTCTGACCCACTGGGCAATTTCTTGGAAATGTCCCAATTCTTGGGAACTCTGGGTAATTGTGCTGACAAAGCTGACGCAAAGAAATTAAGGGGAATCCCAGGCCTGTACAGGAAAACAGGATAGTGTTGCTGACCTCTTACAAGGACCAGTCGTTATAAGGACACGGTTGTACGTGGAGGCTCTGGAACTGCCCTTGTAGTGTCTGTGAACCTTCATCTGCCTTAAGACTCTTGAATAAAGTTTGTCCTTTGCACTTTTAAAACCGATAAGGGCTTTCGTCGCTGGGAAAAGGAAAGCCAATTTGTTGGGGAAGAATTATTCAGAACTGTCTCCCAGGCCTCGAAGGATAAAGGAAGAGCATTTGCAATTTGAACAGAAGGCACTGAAAGGCCGCCTTTTAGACTCTGAGATGTGAGAGGCTGATGCACTCTCAGTCTGCCTTCCATTTGCATTTTAACTGCCGGGCAAAGCCATTGTGAACAGGAAGGGCCCCGCCCCTGCACACACTGGCCAGGCAGCTGGACACTCTGCCCCATTGTTGGCAGGTGTTTCTGAAGGGCGCCATGAGTTCAATGCTCTTGTTTCAGTTTCTTTTGGTATGTTAACATCTCCTCCTTGTGAAAGAATTTGGTCTATTATTTGACTCATGCAAATAGAGAAATAGAATTCCAAACCATTAGCCTACTTATTAAATAGTTATAATAAGTAGCTGGGATGAAAATACCTGTTCTATAGGTATGTCACATGG